TTCGCATACTCCAAAATCATTTAGCAAGTAAAATATGACCGGTAATAAAGTTTTACCGAAAAGATGAATACCTATCATTTAAGGGACTTGCAACTCAGAAAATAGGTGGTTAGGTTGTGAGCACTCTTGATTTAAATGACCATTCGGTTCACAGCAGACGTATAGACGAGGTGAAGATCAGTCAAGTGAGAGCATTCACTTATCATTCTGGCCATTTTGTAGCTAATTCCAATTCTGAAGATAATTCCAAACTTTAGATGGAGAGTTCCAGTTTCAATTTCAGTGGTGATGATAATATTTTATTCTCAAACAACTATGCTACACGTGGCATACCAGATAGTAACGACTCTTCGGGTAATTCAAGTGTCAGACAGATGAAAGAAATGAAAACAAGAATGCTGAACGATTGAGACCTTACAGAACTGCAAATAAACTGAGACTACATTTGTGGCAGGCGCGGTGAATAACAAATATGTTCAATGTAAAATATAATTTATCTATGTTGTGCTTGAATCCGTGATAGCGATACATTGCAATTCCATACCATGTACTTCTTATCCGAGTTGTTGCCTATGTCTTGTCGAATTTCTAGTCTTGATAATGTTGTCATTATTTTGATAGACTACCTCGAGTTCACTGTAAAGGAAATAAATAAGAAGCCGGTAAAAAGAGGTGGCATTAACAACAATATTTTGTCGTAAGCTAAGTACTTTAATTTATTTCTAGTATCAGTAGTACCGTGGATCCTGCTCAACTGTGCTAATACTTCATTTTTCAAGGTAGGATCTCCACATATATTGTCTCAATTGTAGCTAATGTTGTTTCTAGTGCTATTACGATTCTTGATTGAAATTCAAAATCTGTGAGAACAATAACTGGAAGTATAATTACTGTTTACACTCATCATTGTCATTTTAGACAATCGTAATTAAAGTTTCTGCCAAGTAATCTTTGTTCTACCGCTGATTAAACCTGGTTTCTGTATTCTTATGCTTTCATCCTTTTCTGATTTAGTAGCAAACAATATTCTGTTTAGTTTTCAACATGGGCGTAAACAATCCACCAGCAAAATACGGGCAGTTAGATGTATCAAAATAACAGTTTCCTGAATCTGCAAATATAGGAAACAGTTAAAAGGCCTTTTAGGTACGAAACGAATTGACAGTGGCACCGAATTAAAGTTTACCAGAGTTATGTGATAGGGTTGACTGAAACTGATATTTTCTGATATTTCTATAACTTATCACGATGTTTGGATACTGACGAAATTCCGAACCCTTTTCTTAGGAGGTGTCCCGCTCACTAGTAAGCCGCTCTAATGAGTTTTTTGTGATAGATTTTACACTGAAAACGTAGAAAGATATAAATATAGTCCTAGCACCGATGAGCATGTACATTGATGTGTACGTTAAATCGAGTTCTTCAGAAATAAATTATTGCCTTCAAAGGATGGGAAACTTCGACTTCATGTACCTCAGTTTGTAATTATGAGACCTATTAATTCCTATCATTTCTTTACGGATGTGATGTGGAATGGCATTGGATCCTAACGACAATCCTCAGGGCTAAATATGAGATAACTGGGAAAATAGACTTTCAGCATGTAACACTACGAGAAGGTAAATAATGGTGGACGCGGTAAAATTCACTCGAAATTGAAATAATCAGATGGCAAGGCTCAGCCATTGTAAGCGTGGTCATTCTTGTGTAACTTATCTCTTTTATTCATACGAAGTACATTGTTTTATCTCCAACCCAAATGTATTGTCCATCATATATTGGTGATATTACGATAGGACGAGTCAATGCAGACAAGGATGTGACTCTCACGTAAGATCTTATAGATTGGGTTGTCATATCTTGACAAATCTTCAACTTCAGGATTAGGCCTATTACTATAATAATGCTAACAACTAAGTAGACTATAATTCTAGAGATGCGCTGTCATAGGCTCTCTTAGAGAGCTTATGATCAAGTAACTAAAGTTTCTTGATTTTCAACTAGCCCTTCACTTCATCGACCATGATCAACTGCGATTTAATTATATCTACTCTGAAGACATAACAAAGTACGTCAAAGAGTGTCAACAGTACTGGTGTTAGATACAAACTGATATAATGCCGCGAACGGTCTAAATTGTAGCGCGCATGAACATAATATATACTTTCGACTCGCTCCGCTACATTTATTACTTTATTACTATGATACATTGATTACATGAGTGCCAACTCAATGGAACTAGCATTCAAATAAAGAAGATTCGGCAGTGTTTATATGCCGGCCTTTCCAACTAACACTTTGTAAGGTGCATAAGCTGGAGTTCACACTACAGACCACATTACAAGAATTGACAATAAATATATGCCACGTACATTTTTGATTTTTTTCTAAGACTTCTTTTATTCAATATATTTTATAGTGCCAATAACAAAAGCTGGGTACCTATGTTTTGTTTTATTTTTTCGAAGTAAAACAGTATACTGATCATGAAGCGAAACTTCATATGCATGAGAACAGAGAATTTTCGAATTTTATTTATTAAGTTGGTCAGACTTTAATTACCTAGCACTATTTGTAATTTTTTGGCGTATTGCATGTATATTGCACTTGCATACTTAAAATGATGTCAACTGGTAACATGGATTCCATATTATATGAGTATCGAGTAAGGCGATCCTTATCAATCTTTGCACGATAGCTCCTGGATTCGTTCCCTCCTTTATACCATTGTTTAAACCACGAAGTGTAGAGGGGCGACTTCATTTTAGTGTCCGTTTATCAGTCCTCCTGGAAACCCTTATTGCGACGATTACCAACGTATACGACATTGCGAAGTTGAAGCAAAGCTTTTCACAATAGTCTGTTTCTGGAGCGCCACCCAAGCGACATGTCTGGTAGATAGCGGAGCTAGAGAATGGATAAATATTTATGGAGTATGGTGTTACAGTTGGCACACTTACGACTAAGAGCTGGGAATATGGAATTATACATTCAGCCTTCACAGGTTACTGAAACCCGAAAGATAATTAAATCAACTGCTCATAATGTGAATTATCTAGTGTCACGTGCAAGCTCAAGTATCCTGTGCAAAAAACTGTTATTCAGCATTGCATTCCAGGGATAGTATCAGAAACACATAATTTTAACACTACTTGATTGTCTCCTCAAAGCGCCATCTGAGGCTAGTTACTGCAGAGAACTTGGACACAAGTGTAAGCCAAGTAGTGGACGCAGTTAATGCCTACTCAACTCATCGCTTTATGTGAAGACAACCCAAAATCGTTCAGAACCTTTCAAAACTTGGGCACGGCCCCACCCCGAAGTTCAAAATGTTATGGTATCCCCTCTCTCCAAACAAGATGTCGATTTCCCAGACCAAGTACAGAGGCCAGCAACTGAATGGATGATGGGGATAGGAAATAAATCTTATGAAGGCAGATTCAAAAGCTTTTGATTATTTTCGCTGAGCTGTGGGAGAATAATGCGTTATCTGATAATGACAGACAACACGTTAATTAGGCCAAGTCACGTTCCACATGAGGATCCTACCAGAACATCAATACCACTCTCCTCAAAAAACCCCTGAGAATCTCAACGCCTGAGAGCGAAATCTCTTGTTTGAACCAGCTGTACCTGATGCCTGCCTTGTAGCTTATTTATTGTAGTCATTATTACGTATCAACTTATCGTTATCCCGCTTATTATCATCTTCATTTTGCCTCGTTTTCTTATACTTAGGTCTTCTCACACTGTCTTCAGTACCAATCATTTAACCCATTTATTTAATTCTTGAATCAATCCTAATTTCCTTTTTATTAATTTCTGCATCACAATCAACCAACCGACCCCCAAACTGGCAATATGATAGCCTCTGGTATCGAGAAACCCGACGATCCTGAGACAAACGTACTCACTGAGATAACGATAAATACAAACCCACAAATACACGCAATCAGAATGATTGGAGTTAGGTCAGCCGAATAACTATGTTTCTGCTCATAGAACATCACAAAATACCTTGAACCGTACAGAAACAGCAAAAAGCGAAGGTAGATAAATCAATCGATCCACATATGCTGATCACCAAAATTTGAACACTAGATTCTCCACTGCTTGTTTATTTATCCGATGTCTAAATATCTAATGCAAGTACTTAAATGCTCTGAAACCAAATTTAACGGAATTTCTCTCTTTGTAGCTCATTGATCTGAAAATATATGTTTTATGAGATGTTCTAGAAGTGAAATATAATATTATGGACTTTAAGCCAAACCTAGTTGATGAATCCATTCATCATGGAATGAGAGACACTTATTTCACTAACTATATTTAACCTTACTTTAGTTTCTAGAAAACATGTTATTAGCCTTTCCCAGTCTACGACTGAAGTAGTTGTGTCTCCTGTAGCTATAAGTTACTTGTTTGCTTGACGCTCTCTTGACATCTGGAATACAGTGTTGATTTTTGACGAGAAATGCTACTCCTCTACCTTTATGATCTAAGGTTCTGTCCACAAATGCTGTAAAGTCCCTTAGTTGGATCACGCTTCTAAGAATAAAGTCCACTGAGTCCCATTTGCTGTTACGGGTCCTAAGTTTATGTAAGCAGTTTAATATCCTATCTGACACGAGCTTTAAGAAAACGTGCTTGTACAGTGTAATTGCACAAAACCCAGTGCGTTGGAAACATTTGTCCTTTTTAGAACAGATGCTTAATTAGCTTTTTACTTCTAACTATAAGAGAGCGAAAACGCCTTAATCCTTATAAAATCAGACTTTTGTCGGCAGTGTTTACTCCCCAACACTACTGTGGTGATTCTTACTACCTACTCAGTTGAAAGTCTTCCTCTCACCACAAACACTACGGTTGAAATTTTTTGTTAAGATTAAAAAAATGTTAGCCTTCAAAAAATAAGTTTTGTTTTATAGAACCACTATTTGAATGGACAATAAGAGTGGGTTGTTTGTATTTTTATTTAGTAGCTGCGGGTGTGGATAATTATGATTACATTTTCTCACTTATTACTTGGTACTTTCGTCTTAATATAAAAATGCTATTTTATAGTTTACTGCGTGCATCTGACTCTGAAGATGGCATTTTCGGCTGATCCGGACCACTGTCCAGGTAAACATTTTAATTAAGTAGCCGTTTTTTATCATGCATCAAGATTAAACGTGTTGTTATTTAACCGAATTTTTGTGTTTAAATGATTGGAATACATAAAAGCTGCTCTAAAACACTATATTAGCGATTTCCCAACTTCTTGTTCGCTTTCTTGAATCCGACATATGTTGGTAAATTCGCACTCCTCTATAACTGATTTCTCCACAAAACCTCAAGGCAATCGTTGTATGTTATTATTAGACAAATTTCTGTGGTGCATTTTATCGTTCAGTTTGACGGGAAGTTTTTGTATGAAATAGAGACAAATGTTTAGTTTTCCAACAAAATATATTTTATTTCTCACATGACTGCCAGACAACAATATAAAACCAAGACAACGACATCATCGAAATGCTTTGGGAGATAAAAAATTAAGGAGGATTGCGGTAAACCTTTTATATCGTAATAACTTGACGAATAACTTTTATACTACTATAAATAACGGCAAACACAAGAAGTGTGTCAAGGTTAGAGATAGACTTGTGTATCAGCACACTGTGAAAATGGGCAGTCAATATTAACGGGCGATTAAGTTGGGTGACTAATGTTTTTTTCACATCTCAGACACTTTTGCAAGAGATTAGGTCTTATGAAGATAATCTCTACAGTCGAATAAATTGTGTCGCGATGGGATCTCCATTCGAACCTCTTGTGGCAGACTATTTTATGCACAATCCGTAGAACAATTGTTAATCGGAGGATATAGATATCTAAATGATACTTTTAATGTCTTCGACCAAGATAGCTTTAATGAAATACTACAAGAGTTCAATAATTGTCACCACTCGATTAAGTTCACAATAGAAGCAAAGTTAAACTCAGAATCTCACTTCCTCAGTGTTTTACTGGAAGGAAGATCATATGGATCTTTACAGCGACCGTTCTACAGAAATCTAACCTGGAACGGTAAATATACGAACTTCTAGCTTTTGGTACCTCTAAGTAAGCAGAGAAATTTACTTCATTCTCTATCTTCAAGAGCCAGACAAATATGCACCGAAGACACAATTAACGACGAGCTAAATGTTATCCAACGTACGCTTTTGAAGGATGACTCACCCAAGTTCATTGACAGTGATTTAAAACCCTAGTCAAATCGGAAGAGCTCTCATGGTTCCGAAGAAATTTCTATCCGTGAACATCGAATTCAAGGGAAATATGGCAGCTGAGATATTACGGAACAAACTTTCTAGATTCTTGAAAAAGACTAAATTCAGCAGAGCTTCAGACTGTTTTCTCCAGTAAGAAACCCATTCAGAGGTGTGTCGATGATAAACTGCCGCTTTATGTCATCTTAATATGCACCTACCAGTTTATTTGCTCCTGTGGAAAAGGTTGTATTGGCCACACAATGCGCGCACTTGGTAAAAAGACTTATGAGAACCACCGTACATGATTATCTAAAGGGTTATACAAAACAATCAATGGAACAGTACCAAAACGTATGGTCAATTCAGATCACACCGCACCACACGAATCTGCGTTCAAAATCCTCTACAAAGTAAGAAAAACTGGCTCGAAGAGGTTTGAATGAGGAATTTATACACAGTCGAAGCTATAGCAGTTCACCGTCTCGAGTCAAACTCTTTGTACAGAAGAGTCATGCTCGATCCCTTATTCTCCCATGATCTTAGCACCTCTTCTAATTTTACAAATTAGTTGCCATTTATAATAATAATAATAATACTTATTATTATTATTATTATCAATATTTATTTTTATCCCATAGGTTATTACTTTATATTATTTTCAAAACCGTTACATAACGTAAACTCTTGGTGACTGTTGATCACTTTGTTATATGATGCAACCTTTTTTATTCAATACTTGAAAACTTTAATCACGTTTAAGTAACACTCTCCCATCTATATTGTGCAACACAACTTTATTTTAATTGAACTGTACTTGGACAACTTTGATGTTTTTGTAAAATCCCTTTATTTTACTGTAGACTACTACGTGTAAAACATCATCTATTAATGCAATTGTACGGCGTCAGAAAATGATATAGTCGAAAAAAGGTCTTTTTCTGAAAAGTCTTCATTTCTATAACTTTTATTTAGTCTAACTACTGTCTAACCTCATTGCCACTAAGTATGTAAAAGTTTCGTTGTATGTCAGCACATAAACATATCTATTTGTGGGCTTTTACTGAGGATCAAGCCAAACCAAAAGTGGGTAGAACTAAACTGTACCCCCAACCAACTTTAACTAGTTTAATCGATCGGGAAACAGGGAAAACAAAAGTATAGTTTGGAATAAGAATATGAATTTTAAATTCATTGAGTTATAATGTTATTTCCCAACACTAGTTTTAAATATCATTTTCATACATACATTTTGATGTTAAGGTAGTTTGCACCCTTTGGATAGTAGGCATGAAGTGAATGTAAGCAATGAATTCGAAATAATTAATGAACAGAAAACATCAGTCTTACTCCTTTTGGTAGAGGCAATCGCTATCAAACGTTTCCGACCTGACTAATACATGCAGAAGGAGAGTGTGATTAGCCTTTCCCCATCATGGTGATTGAAGGTTCATCTGATAACGTTTATTAATTTTCAATTTCATTTCGGCCCTGTCCTCAACCTTTTATCTTTGTTTTTATTTTTTATACAATCCTATTGATGTGGATATATTCGCTTATTTTTCATCATGTTGAGCGATTGCCAAAACACTCAATCATTTAATTACCTTTATCTTGGTAATGATTAACAGTAACTATGACATCCTTTTTACTCTACATTATTACTTTTCAGTGTATAAATATAAATCGATCTTGACCATGTTCATTCATACATTTTGTGTCCCTATTCTTATTATTATTATTATAGTTTTCGTTAAATTTCGAACATTTATCTAAAATTCACAAACCAAAGTATGTTAAACACTTGTTGTTAACCATATTTGTGTTAATAATTGTGATTTTACGTTTAATGCAGCTGATGAGAAACCGTGAAATAGAACAGATTCATTTTATTGTTCAAATATTCTTGTTCTGTTTAAATTTATCAAGGGATCTGGTTGTATGAAATACTTGATTGTTTCATTTTGTTTTAACCAATTTCAAACTTCATAAAACTTTCTCAAAAATGTTAGAATTACAAGATATGAAATCATATCTTGTACACTAGTCGAGAGATAGGCGTAGCACAACTTATAGCTTGATTTTATATTTTATTGTCATTTTTTGTCAGGACAAAAAACTGAGTAAACACTATAAGGATACATACTTTATGTATATATATATATAGTGGTAGTGTCTGTATTGCAAAGTGAACTGCAGCAATGAATTTCACAAATTTAATCAGTATAAAGTCAGTAATGTGTAAATGAATGTAAAAAGTTTCGAAGTTTGTTCAGCCTATTCTTCGACTTTTCAAATCACTTCTTTCACCATTGATTAAAGATTATTTTGTTATTTGTAAATTTTATGTCATTAATTTTTTATTATGTTTGTAATCTATATATTTTACGAAAGTCAATAAGTTATACTATTCACTTGATCAGTAAATATTTATAGTATACCTATATAAGTGTACAGATAGTTCGACTTCATTTGGCAACATTTTTTTTGTCTTTTCCCTCTATAATTTAAGGTCAACGAATTAAATGTTACAGTTGTAATTCTGTTGAAGACAATCACTGTAATGATCCATTTTTCCGACAACCACAACAGACCAAATCATTCCCTTTAGTAGATTGTAATGATTATTGTTTTAAATGGGCTTTTCAAGGTCCAGGTAAACTAAAAATATTTTTCATTATATACTTGTACATCTTTTGTGGTTAATTCAAACATTGATATATTTGATACTATTTTATATTATACTGCTTGCTTCAATCAACTCTTAATATATGTGTGATTAAAATACAATTTGTATATTTGTATTTATTAGTAATGAAACTTTTATTAGAATTTGTAAGTGTTAAAATAATTAGTATGTGAATGTATAGTTTAGTCAGTCTGTGGGCTGTTTATAATTTAATTCGAGGTAAATCTATGTGAGTGGCCTGAGAAAAGTAACAATCTAATTACTTACTTAGATAGAATTTTCAGCCAAAGATTACGTAATACACGAGGTAATACAAATTAAGTTATCTATAGTAGGGTGGGGGTTCGTGTTAATGAACCGCTAGGATGTAGTAGTTGCACGGTGATCTTAATTTTCTGTGTCATCAGTTTTCCAAATGTGTATATGTTATCATAAACTCATATGTTTTAGATCTATTTCAATTAATTTTGTCTGTCACAGTGTACTTACATGCCTTCATAAGATACCTACAACCTCTCGCAAACTTGATTATTGAGATACTTAAGAAGTACTACCATGATGGTTTGTGTATGATCCTCCTCTCTTTCAGAAAAACATAAAATACATTCGGCCATCGAAATATATATCATGGGAACAAGAATTGTCGTAAATATTTACGGATAAATATAAAGTGACAGTTAATCACAGATTAAAAATTTCTTATACATGTTTTTTGCATATTTATCCATTCCGGGATACTTTTAGTTAATTAATACCATAAGCAATGGTTTATTCATACCATTTGCACGAGCTATTAACTATACGGATTCAGTAATTCAAAGGATAACTTATTGATTGTTTAAACGAACAGTACTCGGTTCGAGTTTCAGTATGAAAATTAACACTACAATATAGAGAAATCTGCTTGATAAGTTACAAATAAGACGAAATGCTCGTCCCCGATTGCACTACTAGCAATTATCCAATTTTAACAAAGAACAGTTTTAAAAAAATTTGACCTAATAATGTGGTCTAATGAGTTATTTATTTATTTCTGCTTTTTGTTTAATCAGTTTAATCAGATATTTCAAAGATAAACGGTTATTATCTGTTTAAGAAGTTATTGAGATATGTTAAATTACATCTTATCATCATAAAATTGGAATTGTGTTTATTTTAGTAATAACCCATTTGTTCGGTTTGTCAGTTATAATATATTTCAACTTTAAAACTAGCGTATACTACTTGATATTCTTGATTGGTATTCGTAGAAAACTTGTTATGAAGTGTTGTAACGGGTGGATTGCAGGCTAGATGCGCAGCGTTTTATTGATCGATTCGGTGACACGGAAAGCACGTACGGGCAGCCTAGGGTTCTGATTGGTTCTGCTTCCCAGCTAGTTAAGTCCAGAAAACAAGTCCCAGCCTCGGATATATGAATCGTTATATTTCAAACATACTCTGTTTATATACCAACCAAATAGACCACATCGTACCATAAAAATAGAAAACAACATCTGTACAATATTTAACGAGTGAAATAAATAATGGCTAATAGGGAATGTCCATTTAAAGTCCAAGGACATCATTAGACTTAACATGACAATGATTAGTGTATTCCTCTGCATCCCTAACAGGAGTATAGTAGATGATGTTTCACACTAAAATTCAAGCTACTTTTATTCACCGATATAAGACCGAAGGTCTATGTGTTAACCTTTTCTATGTATCCTACTTAGTCAAACGAAGGCATATATACATACGGGTACATATATTTGTACAAGTACATAATAACTTATTTCTCAACTGACGTTGTTCGTTTCAGAAAACAAAGACAGGTTTCTTAGTTTCACTAGTTCTAAGCGTAATTTTCTGTTCGACTACTTCTATAAAGAAGTTTTATTGAATATATGACTCTATGAGTTTATTGTAACATTTTTGAATCCTCTTTACAATTGAGAAAATGAACAGGGGGACAACGAAGAGGTCTTTATATATATCCGATCTACATCAAACCTCTTGTCATTATGAACTATACGTTTATTATACTTTGACTAATCTGTTTCATTCATTGATAATATACTTTTTCCATACACTATAGAAGTCAAAAATATTCAAAAGAGTTAGTCAAACCCCATATTTAATACATCTTTTTTCTCTCCCATATCCATCCAGACAATTTCAGTTTTTACTTTAACTGGTGCATGATACGTGTAATGTGCATGACTTTTTTCAATTTCTATATTCCTTCTTAATATATTTTACTGTTTTTGTAAATACTCAATAGCAGAGTCTCTGATTACACCACTAAGTGTTCCGAGTTCAAGTTTCACAGATAGTATCAGTTCCCTCAAAATTATTGATACAATTTACTGGTGGTACATTTTACTAATTATCTCTAATCACTAATTTACAGTGTATTTATTATGAAATTAGAACTTCTTTCTCGTTATCTTGATCGGGTCATCTAACAATACAAAATTTACCAATGACTTGTTTGTCTATCGAACCAACGATTTTCCCTTAAACAATGACAAAAATAGCCATGAACAATGACCGGAAATCATTAGTTCCTCTTATCTCCAGTGGCCAATCAGAAGGTGAAGATAGCGACCAAAGTTGCCTTCTATTGTTATATTGCTCTGTATTTTCCTCCTGACTCAAAACTCACAGGATTATATACTTCAATTATATGACCACAGCATACATTACAAATAAGAAATCACAACTAAGTAATATGTAGTGTAAAACTAAACATTAGGTTTATAATGAATTAACGATAGTCTAAGAACAGTAAAATATATCACAACAGTGAATGTTTACAAATGAAGGCTTAAAATAAGAGTTATATGATGAAAATACGATAACATATACAATAAATCTCTATGAAATAGTTTTAAAAAGTTCATTACTCCCAATTATTGGGGTGAATAAGAACCCGAGTGCGGACAATCGAGCATTTCACTAAAATTCGAGAACCATATAGTAAATAGTTAATTTGAAAAATATCAATCCATCGTCTTAAACTTAACTGTTCCTTTTGCAAATATCAGTTCATTATCCCAGATTTCATTATTCATGCATTTTTATACCAATTGTGTTCCGTTCCCGTTCTTTCCTTATCGATCTTATACTGAAATACATTCTATGCTTGACCGTCGTTATATACTACTTATATGGATATAAGTAACCCACACCACAATATTACTTATTAGTAATTTTAAATATTTTATAGTCTATCAATAAATATTAATGCATATAATATTTATTGTTGTTTTTCTTTCGTTATTCAACTAGATGGACAGAAACATTTAATACGAAATTGTTCAACAAGTTTAAATATGAAAATGGAGAAATATTTAGTTTGTATAGCTGAATCACGATCATCCATTGGTCATTTATGTTTTTGTAATAAAGATAAATGTAATTCAGCTAATTCAGTTAGAAAACAATTTCATTATATATATTATATTGTTTTAATAAATTTAGTTCAATTATTTTATCATTATCGATATATACTACTATTAATACTACCTGTATTGTATTATCAATAAGTATAGTGTATTTATTCATAGCTATAACTGTAGTTATTTATACTAAACTTGTATAGAAAAATTTATGTATAGATTTCTATGAACTTTGTATATTTCTATCTACACATAATCCTGAGATTGTTACTTACTTACTTACTAACACCTGTTACACCTCATGAAGGAGCATAAGCCGCCTACCAGGATTCACTCATTGAACTCTATCCTGAACAATTCTTTCCGATTGTTATTGATTTTTTTAAATGTCTGTTTCAAAATTCCCGATAGCTGGGATTGTTAAACTATGAGAGTATTCAATAACAAAAAAAAAACAACAACAGAAGAATAAACTAGTATAGATCATAATCATAATTGAATCAATTCACAATGTATTCAATTCAATCATATATACAATAATACATTTATATACATATATGTATATTTCTTTATTTTTTTGTATATTGAATTGACAATTCAATGAAAATGAATAATTAGTTTATTACATTCAAAATAAATGATCAACAATTTCTTTCCATAAAAAGGGAAGCATTTAGAAAGAATCTGTCTTATGTAACAGGGAAAGAAGAATACCTTTAAGTTACATGATGATGGTTATTATTTTCGTTGTTCTTTTTATTTTATTTTTTATTGTAAAGGGAAATAATTAAGAGAGAGAAAAACCATTTTAATAGATAATACAATTTGCATTTAGAGTATTTATTATTGTTATTATTATGTTTTTTCTTGTGTATCTATAAAGAAAACTTTTGTGTTATTTATTAGCAAATCTTTGATTGCGAATTTTTACTTACTTTTGTTACTCCCAATGGAGGATAGGTCATCGACCAGTATTCTCCAATCCACTCGGTTTTGAGTTTTCCTTTCTAATTCTATCCAATTATTGTTCATTCTTCTCATGCATGTCTCCATTTCTTGGTGTAATGTGTTCGTTGGTCTTCCTCTTCTCCTTTGAACTTGAGAATTACAAGTGAGTGTTTACCTTGTGACGCAGTTGGGTACTTTATTTACTGTTATTTAACCGACCTGTCTGGCATGGTAGGACATCGAGTAACGATTGTTCCAGCCAGTATAGTTCGATTTGTTCAGTACGACAGGCAAGCCCGACCACCATGTCAGAGTAGAAACAACGGTCAAGCTATCAAAAATGTGTGTTTATTTACTGCTAAACTACTTTATAACCATTCCTGAAAGAAAAAACTAACAAAAATGATATGATTTCTAGAAGTTTAGATTGTTGTGCATTACTGATTACTTATTTTGAAACCAATTTTTCGACATATTGAAATAGGATATATTTAGAAATTGGAATAATCAATGAACTGTAACTCGTTAGGGCATCAGATAATTTTGTAATTTCTGCTGGAAATATGTTAAACATGATATTACATAATCCTAAGAACTTTAAACTGAAGGTACATTTAGACATATTACGGTCTACTTAAATGATGTTCTGTTATTCAGTTATTGGTTCTTTTTATTTTCAACCTATAGGCATATATCTTCTAGGGTAATATAGAGGAAAGTATAACTTTTTGATAACGTTCCCATGAATGCAAAACGAGAACTGTAAACAAAAAACAAAACTATCGAAGGATAGCTCAGTAGGTATTTAGTGTATGCTACTTATGTCTGTCAACATAAGTAGTATGTAACCTCAATCGGAAGTGGAATGCCTGGTAGTAGAAGTTCGTGAAGATCGAATTGAAGAGGACGGGAATATAAACAAACAGTAATTGTAATAACAATGAAGGAACGATGAAGTTTGAAACAATTGATGGAAGATTTGCGAATCAAGTATTCAATGTATGATTTTTCACATTTTACAAAGGAACTCTATTATTTCCATAAGCAAAAATGGACGGTGGCTAGGAGTAGAATCGAAGACATGCGTTTAGTTTTATTTGAGGCTCTTCAGCTGGACGTATCCGCATCCCCGAGTTTATGTTTACTCCCCGTATCGAACCCAGTACAGTCCGTTTCAAACATCATCGCGTTCCCCACTTAGTTACTGAGTCCTAATAATCACCTGCTTGTGCAATGTGGCAAAATTGAAATTTACTTGATTTGTTTGGACTGAATAATAAATCGGTTGTTCTCATCAAGTCTTCGTTCATTATGGACACAATGAACATATCATAAAAACAAAATAATCAACAATTAACTATACTCAAACGAAACAAAAAAAAATAGTTAGAGGTTACCTTGTGGAAAATACAAATATAAACGACTGAAATAGGTTATTAATTGATTGTTTTGTGGCTTTAAAGCCTATTGACAATGTGGTTGAAAATATAAGTAAAATTTTAAAATATCACAAAAAGAAACCTGAAAGATTTATATAACACAATAAATGGAAGCTTTATGTTAAAGAATTTTCACGCAAATGTATTGACGTAATAATTTCCAATATGAAGGGTTTGTTACTAAGATAACGTACTTGGTAGGATACTAAAGTACAGTAGTATTGTATCCAGTTTTTAAAAAAATGGAGATATTCTACTTTCAATATTATGTAAACGAAGTTTATGGAATAAGAATGTTTATTTTTGTAAAAAAAAGTGTTATAGCTTAGAGGAATTTCGTGGAGATCAGTTCAATTTACAGGGCTGTATTACTCCACAGATTGATCTCAGTTGAGTATGTTTGAAAGCTCAAGATATTAGACAGTTATTTATTCCTGGTATAAAAGTCAGAAGTGCATATCCATAACCTCACCAGGAGTCGTACCAAGAAACTTCAGATGTCGCTGCAAATACTGAACCATTAGAACCATTGGGTGAGTTTCCAGTTGCACAAGTTCAGCTAGACCAGAAGGTCCTGGTCTTAGTCCATGGTGAAATGGAGGTTGTACATTTCCGGGGAGTCTCATGTGAGGATGAAACAGCTGGTTATCAGTGGTATCTGAAATGTGATTAAAGAATGATGAATACCACCTGTAAATTTTATCAATCTCTACACAACACATTCAATAAAACACCGTATAGTATATCGAGCTACATTAAAAATATGATTATTCGTTTTCAATGTTCATCGTTAAAGGAAGAATCTGGAAAAATAAGGTCATCCATTTCTCAATTAGTAGTTGACAGTCATTATGTTGCATCAAGCTCATTGTTCAAAAATATTGATAAAACCAAAGGTAGTCTATTAAAATGTATATGTTTGTGTCTTCTTTTCGATGAGGAAGCTTTAGATTTATGCAATCTTCAACTGTGTTTACAAGAGAGTGGCTTACAAAACCGTTTATGTTGCTATGGTCCTAGTTTAATCTCAGATTCCTAAATTTGGGACATTCTAACATCGTTCATTAAAACGTATATTCGTTTTGTTGACATACTATCGCTTGTAATCATATCCCATTATTAATCATAGCAACTGGTGGTTATCTACTCTGTGAAATTACATCAAAATACTTCTATATGCCATTCCGTTTTTGGTCCATTAGTCTCACATACTACTGATCTCTCATATTCCTTTATTTGGTTGGTATGGTGATTCATATTGAACCCCCAGACTAAATCCACACGGAGACCTGAACACGAGAGAAAAGGCGCGAAATATGGGAAGAAAACTTTACTCCAAGGTTAGTTTATGTACAGAAAATCGAGGGTATTTATAGTATTTCAAGTGGCTTTGGGTTTCTGGAAATTTCCTGGGCCCTTCTAAATATTGTAGCAGGATAGGTGAAAACCCATTCAAAAATGTGTCACGTGAATTTTCACTTTCTAGATGTTTCTGAGACACCTTTATTGAATACTGGTTGGATAAGATGTTTCTCAGCGCTTTCAGGGCCTCTTCGTGCCTTTTTCGAGGAATTTTCTGGGTCTCCCCAATACATATTCACTCCATAGCTCTTGACAATAAAATTGCCGATAATTTTTATGCGGAATAATAATACTTTTGCTTAAGAATGGTTCTATTTTAATCCAGTTATAAACAGAACAAAATGATGGTATTTCTACTTCTTAACTAACTTCTTATACTAAAACACAATTATATGAACGAAGAATATTCTTTTCAATAATTTCTCATCAGGTTCCACTTTTAATGCAGATAAACTACAATTAATGTTTTCCACACGTCTAATGATCACTATGAGGTTAAAAGATAAATTGCCCAGATTAACCACATCTTTCTGTATCTATCAACTCAACTGCTCCTGTAGAGCAAGTTATGTTGGCAGATGTTCTAGGGATTTGTATGTTCGGGCTCGTGAGTACCTCCCAATGTAGTTAAGCAAAGGTGTAGTTAAAGTGGTTAACAGCTTCATTTTAGCTCATTTAATTTAGATGGGACATACAGCCAACATAGAGTAATCCTGCGCAATAATATATAGTGTTAATAGCAGTTTACCTAATTCCATTAGATTGAGAATCCTGCAGACGGCTGAAGCAATTGCTATTCGGATCAGAAAGCCAGGGCTTTGCATCTAAAAGAAATATGTTCAGCAGCTCCTTTTACCCTGGCCAACTTCAAGGCCAATTAGTTAATAATCAATTTCATAATATGGTGACGTAATTTGATTAATGTTCATTTTTATGTCCCAAATTTATTATTATTATTATTAGTATTATTATTATCGTTATTATTATTATTATTACACTTGATAACCTTTTCCAGAAATTTATTCAGGATCCGCCCCTATCTACTATATCTGACCTAATTCATATTATTCTACATATATACGTAGTTTCTGGTTTGTAATTACCCTATTCCGTCTCTCACCCCATATTGATCATATTTATTCTGATCATTATTTATCTCACAATTCCATTTCACTTATAAACTGATTCAAGTCAACAACTTCACATTAGTCAGTCCCAACATTAACGATATGACAAACAACAATCCTTGATTCACATATTACAATTTCCAAAAGATGTACTCTGCCTTAAACCTGGTCAATTTTATGGATTATTAATTTGGATATGAGATAATTGTAGAAGCTGATGAGAAATTCATTGAAAAGAATATTCTTCGTTAAATACAAATTAATTTCGCAA